AGGTGAAGTCTTTTCTGAAAAAAAGGGACAGTTTTCCACAATGGCTGTCATGTTGGCTACCACACAGGGCAGTCTTGGGTTTAACAAAGCCCACGTCACCCCTCCTTCTCTGCCGTCTGCATGGCCACTGTTTTTCTGGGTTCAGTTTTTAACTGCTTATTGTTAAGTAGTTGGAGGTCTACAGAGAAGATTGGTTTTCCACACACATTTCATTTCATGTCATTGATTGAAATTCCCTCAGTGCAACATCACTTATCTCGCTTCCTCCCTGTGTTTTCCTAAGTAGGTCTTTCCTCATCCTTTTGAACCTTATCTTTGGGTTAATGCTGCCTTTTTTTGTTTTACTGGCAAATAGTAGACTGTTGTAGGGTATGCACACCCTCCCTTTACACACCTGTTTCCTTTACACACCTGTCCAAGTGTTTGGCTAAGAACTGAGACACAGAGGTGAGTTCAGTTGGGAACCTGAAGGACCACGGAGAGCCATAGTCTGCAGGATTCCACCAATCTTTATCTGGCCAGTAAGCCTCATCTCTTTCATGATTCTGAGTGTTGCTCTGCATTTTTCTCCCACTCAATGCAGTACCTTCTAGAGCTCGTGGTCTAGGTATCTGGGTCCCCACTAGTTCCTCTGGTCTCCGAGACAGGAAGACTGACACTGGAGCGGTCCGTCAGGCCACTGGACTAATGTTTCCGTCACTGGCATGTTTGAGTCCATTCTTAGGGTTATTGTGTCAGTCCATCTCACTGAGATTTTCTCTGACCAAAGTGATATTTGCTTTCTAGCGAGTGGTCATCCCAGTGGGTCAACAGTCTAGCTGTCCAAGGCTCTAACACCCCTTTACTCCTCAACCCAAGTTCCAGCCATCACAAAGAGTCTCCTTGAACTTCAGACTCCTCAACTAGCAGTAATAAAAGGACCCCAGGTCACTGCCAAACATCTACTGAAAAGTCAAGACTAAGAAATTCAGGTGCCAATATCAGCAATCCAAATTACAAATGCCTTGGAGAAAGATACTGAATCAACCCTCTTTGTCCCCCATTTTCTAGTACAGAGCCTGGCACCCCGGAGGAGAGTCCTCAGAGCCAACTGGTGATCACTTGCCAAATGAAGTGCCTTCGTCGGCCCAAAGAACACCCCAAGAGGGGGCTGGAGGTGAAGGCATCCAGAAACCACCAGAGCACACTTTCTAAATAACAGCTACAGTCCAGGGGTAGCCTCTGAGAGAAGAGAACACTCATTCACAGAGGTCTGGGACTCCCTGCCAAAAGCCTCGTCCCCAGAGGAGAGGGGAAGGAGGAAGAGATGCAGAAAAATGGCAGGAAGGAAGGAAGTTAGGAAGGGAGATCTGACAAGGGAGGCAGGCCAAGATGCTTTTTTAGGCACATCAGAGGCGGCCCAGATATTTACAAACACCATGTGGCATGTTATGATGCCAAGCCTACTGGGAAGCTTAAGGAAGAGCAATTTAGGAACATGCTTAGAAACGTGTAGGCATGAAGTCCAAACGGAAACTGGGGCATCTGGCAGCAGCCCTGATTCTGTTTTGCAACGTGATATTACAGTGTCTCCCACCACCCCCTCCAAGGTGGAAATTAAAAGAAAGGGAAAAAAAAGAATATTTAAAAGAGTTGAAGGCTCTCGGGGGCATGCAGATTGGGGACCCGAAGCCCATTGGTAGGTAATGAATGGGACACCCCCTTATAGAAGGGTCGCGGGGACGAGCCAGTCAGGGTGCAGTGTAGCAATGAAGAAACATACAATTTTCCTCTAATTCTTAAATGCTTCCTCCCCCACCACTATCATGATCCCAATTTTACCTTACAAATCTGGCTGGGCTGGAGCATGTACACTGGTACAGATAGGAACCGGAAGCACAGGGAAGCCAGGACAGATGATCCCTTCGGGACCAGTGGTGAGAGTGATGATACCGGAGGGTGGAGGGAAAGTGAGGTAGAGAGGGGGAACCGATTATAAGGATCTACTTATAACCTCCTCCCTGGGGAATGGACAACAGAAAAATGGGTGAAGGGAGGGAGACATCGAACAGTGTAAGATATGACAAAATAATAATTTATACAATATGAAGGGTTCATGGGGGAGAGGGGAGCAGGGAGGGAGGGGAAAATGAGCTGATACCAAGGGCTTAAGTAGAAAGCAAATGTTTTGAGAATGATGAGGTTAACAAATGTACAAATGTTCTTGACATACAATGGATGGATGTATGGATTGTGATAAGAGTTGTACGAGCCCCCAATAAAATCATAAAAAAAAAAAAAAAAGAGTTGAAGGCATGACAATCTCCAAGCCAGATATTATTTGTCGAGACTTAGGGATAAAAACATGCATAATGTTTATTTCACACCTACAGTGAGTGGTCTGACTTAGAAAAATATGGGCAGCTTAATTACCAGTGTTCATCTGTCAACTCAATATGGTAAAAAACGAGCAGTGAGACATGCCACCGGGCTGGTGACGGCCTATCATAGTGACTGCCCCAAAGTCAGCAAAGGGAGACAGAAACTCTGAGATGAGGACCTAGCTGTCTCGACTACCAACACACCCTGGAAGTACTGGGTCTCTCTGCCTGTTTCCTTTGCCCAAGACACTGTTGGTCCCCGCTATGCCTCCTAGCCACACCCAGTTCTAGGAAGCAGGCAGGTCGACAAGCCTAGGCTAGGCTAGAGCGCACAGGGTCAGGTATGGGGTCTTGCTGCCAGGGTAACAAGCAGTTCATTTGATTGTTGGACACTCACATATATTTAATAAGTAAAAGTCTACTGATCCCTGATTGGTTGGCACAGTCCATCCAAACGTTCCCACTGGGACCAAGCCCTTTCTGTGGGGGTAAACCCGTGCTTCATCCACACCATTTACTCTCTAAGGCCCATACTTTGACTGCATCAGACACCTGCCAGAGCCTCTGGTCACACCCTATTAGACTCTGTCTGGCACCACAGAGTCCAGACATCTAGCCTTCTCCTGACCTAAGCTGAATTTCCTTCTCATAGGCATCCGTTGCTAGCGGGTGAGGTCCTTAAAGCCAAACTTGTCAGCGTGGAATTCTGCCGAAGGAGCGATTAAAAAGGCCACGGCTTTAATCAAAGAGCTAGGAGGCTCTCCTAGGACATGGGCACACAGCCTTGACCAATATGTGAGAAGCCCCAGCTTGGGAAGCTTTTACCCCACCACAGGCAGGGAGCTAACACTTACATAAGCCAGGAGTCCTTGTAGTGTACTGGTTACTCGTTGAGCTGACAACCACACGGTCAGCAGTTTGAAACCACCAGCTGGCAGTGAAGAGTGGCAGTCTCGGAAACACACAAGGTTTCCGTGTCCGCAGGGGTCACTATGAGTTGGGCTCAACTCTAAGGTAGTGACTTTGTTTTGTTTTACTTGAAGCCAGCCACTAGGCTAAGCACTGGTATATGTTTTATGTCATTTTGTTCTCTGAGCAAAGCTATGAGATACTATAATCATTATTTTATAGATTGTTGTGGTGGTTATATAATCTGTGATCAGTTTGAGACTTAAGAGTGAAGGGGTGGAGTTTAGCCTGTCAATCAGATAGCAGCTTGATGACCTCATTTGGAGTTGCTAAGGAGATAAATAGCTCACTGGAGGCAGAACGCAAGCTCACTCCCTGCAAGACATTACAGACGAGCCACATGGAGCTACACTGGTGGCAGTCAGAGCCTTGGGAGAAGGAGGAGCCACGTGGAGACCCACACCAGTGTGGAGATGAGAGGCTTCCGCCACCACTGGATCCACAAGACTTTACACCCACTGGCCTGTGATCTTCCTGCATTCGGCGTCATTGCATGTGTTTTGTGAGTCTGAAGAGGACTTTGTAGATTGGCATTGGACATATGGGCTAATATCTGACTATGGACTTGACCTGGACTGGGCTGGGATGTTTTCTCAATATTCAATTGTTCTTGGATATAAAGCTCTTTCTTATACACATGAGTGTCCATGGATTTGTTTCTCTAGTTTACCCGGACTAACACACTGGTATAACCAAGATCTAGTGGGAATTAAAAAGAAAAAGTGACAAACAACAGAAACATGGGTGAAGGGAGACAGCAGACAGTGTAAGATATGAAAATTATAATAATTTATAATTTATCAAGGGTTCATGAGGGTGGGGGCGTGAGAGAAGTTGGAAAAAATGAGGAGTTGATATCAAGGGCTCAAGTAGAAAGAAAATGTTTTGAAAAGGATGATGGCAACAAATGTACAAATGTGCTGACACATGGATGTGTGGATTGTTAGAAGAGCTGTAAGAGCCCCCAATAAAATGATGAAAAAAATAAATGAATTAATTAGCAAAAAAAAAAAGGCCCTGAGCTCTCACGAGTTGGTAAGAAGTCAGAGCTTGTCTGTGCACCCAGTTCTTTCCGACTCCAAGCCCGTCATTTTTGCTATGGTCTCACATTCCCACTCTAAGAGGAAAGAGGGGAAAGCGGATTATAACTGACAATGGCTCAAAGTCCCCAAGCTACTTTCTTTTCAGCCCAACCTACATTCTTTTACACCCTAAACTTCTGCTCGGAACTGGTGCTAATATGCACTACCCTTCCCCTCAGTGTGGCCAGCTTCCCTCACCACAGTACGTCCTACCTCCGGCACAGCCCCCTAAGCTGTCCCCACCCTGGGAACAGACTGCAGCCAGAAGAACATCAGGCAGTTCTTGCTGGCTCCATTCCCAGAGCCCGAGGAGCCCCCAACGGAATAAAGCAAAGCATATTTCATAGTCGTTGCTTGCTGTTTCTTATGGAAATCTATGGAATTTGGAATGAACTATTGTAGAGCCCAGAGGAGACTTTCTGCTCCATGGTCATCATGACTTGGGTCAACACACCCGGATGACTACCAGAAGTGTGTTGACATATAAATGTGCATGTTGGCAGGGGTCCTGCCCAGGACCTAGACCATGTGGCTGTCCCTTAATGCCATCCTCCAGTGAGCCCCACCCCCACAAGTGCCCCTTACTCACCTGCCCAGAGTCCCTTGAGGGGCCTTAGTGCCTGCAGCTCCGTGTGTGATGCTGGCATTCTTGTTGGCAGTCATGGTCATTTCGGCTCTCTGCAAACCCAGAGACCTGCAAAAGAAGCCCTGGCCTGTCATCCAGGTTCCCACAGCTGCCCACAGCACCTCAACAGCTTCCAGGTGACCCACCCAAATTGTCCGGAGGCTTTCTGTGGTGAGGGGTAGGAACCATTCCCCCACCTTACATTTAGCTCCAAGTGTACAACTTAAGAATCTCAAGAGGCCCTTGACCTGGGGAGGGAAAGAGTCTATCAGCTAATGGTAAGGACATCCATCTCCGTTCCTCCTTTTCTTTGTTTCTTAAGCTGCAGTTCTCTAAACTTCTATCCTTCCATACAGCCTTTATGTGTTCTGCCATACATACATATACATCCCTCCTGGCTATCTTTTCTAACTCAGAGGAATGAAACTGGAATTGTCTGAATATGACTATGCTACCTTTGTTTGAAATGAAAAATTGTTTGTTTGTTCAACACATACTTACTGAGTCTCCATGTGTCCTAGGTACCATGTCCTAGGTAGAGCACAGAATAAAACAGTCTCTTGCCCTGGTGTGGAGCTTCAGGCTCGTGAGGACAGCAGGTTTGCCTAAAGCATATGTCTGTGTATAATATGTAAGGTGACATATGGGTCCAAAGAAATAAAACCAAGCAAAAGTAGAAGACAAGAGAGTGTGTTATTTTAAAGAATATGTTCACAGGCCATTTTGATAAAGTAACACTGAAGACACAATATAAAATTTTGAGCAAGAAAATATTGCTGAAAAAAATTAAAGATTTAAATTAATGGAAAGATACTCAAGCTCATAGCTCAAAAAATATTGGTTCAAATGGCAATATTCCCCAAAGAGGTCAATAGATTGCACACAATCCCTAACAAAAATCCTTCTGGCCTCTTTAAAGACATTGACAAGCTAATCCTAGTTCATAGAAATGCAAAGGACCCAAAGTAGCCAAAGCGATCATAAACGAAAAAGAACAAAGTTGGAGGACTCAGACTCTTAGTTTCAAAACATACTGCAAAGCTACAATAATCAAAGAGTGTGGGACTGGCATCAGAACAAGCTCTAAGGAATAGAACTGAAGAAACTTAGAAATAAACCTACAGATGTATAATCAAGTGATTTTCAAAAAGAATTCCAAGACAATTCAAAGAAAATACTTTTATCAACAAATGATGCTAGAACAAGGAGGACCACTCCATACCCACAAACCCACTGCTATGGAGGTCCATAAGAGGGGAAGACTGATCAGGGGAAGGGAGGGGTGCACTACTAGGGGGCCGGGGGAGTTGAGTGGGCAAGTGGTTTGAACTTTTGGATGCAGAAGTGATACAGATATAGGAAAGAGCTGCAAACGATACCAAGAATTAGAGTTTAACTCCCAACAACTCCCCCACCCCCACACACGAATGAATAAGCAATAAATACCTCACTGCCATCAAGTCAATGCTGACTCATGGTGATCCCCTGTGGGTTTCTGAGACTGTAACTGTTTACCGGAGTAGAAAGCCCAGTCTTTCTCCCGCGGAGCTGTGGGTGGTTTCAAACTACCGACCATGTGGATCACAAACCAATGCTTAAGTGCTTTATGCCCCCAGGGCTCCAACAATCAATCCATCAAATGTTCTAGAAGCACATAGTGGTGGCAAATGCACAATTCTGTGAATGTATTAAAAGCCACTGAATTGTCCATCTTAAATGAGTAAAATTTGACTGGATTTTGTCTGGAGCCCTGGTGGCACAAGTGGCTAAGTGCTTGTCTGCTAACTGGGAGATTGGCAGTTCAAGCCCATCAGCCACTTCATGGTAAAAGACCCGGCAGGCAGTTGACTTCGGTAAAGATTTATAGCCTTGGAAATGCATGGGGGCAATTCTACTCTCTCTCATGGGGTTGCCATAAATCACAATCAACTCCACCATGGGGATGGTTTTGGGGGGAGGGGGGGTTCTCAACATGGATGGAAAATGACACTTACAGGCAATAAGAAAATCTACTGCTTTGGACAGTGGGTGTGAGAGCCAGGCAACGTATGCACGAAGCAAGTTTCCAATGGGAAGAGCCCGGGCAGGGCGCCCCACGATGGAGCTGAGGCGTTCGGCATGTTCGTTGGTTCACATCCATTGGCGCCCTCAAACTTAATGTACCTAGCTTTGAAATGGGCACTGGCAACGATCTTATTTGTCTGTCGTCTTGGTGCGACTAAGTGGTTGGTCTCATCGACAAAACTTAACCTCTCGGTATCATTTGCGGCTCTTTCCTAACTTCAACTTGACATGTGCTCTCTCTCGTTGCTTGATCTTCTCAGGGTTGTGGCTCTGGTGATGGTGGCCAGAGGGTAGAGTACAGGTAGAAAGGGAGGAGGCAACCCAGAGGTTAAAGGTCATTTTCTGACGGTGGACGCACTGAAATGCTTCTCCCAGTTGAATACTGCAAATGCTTTGAAGGAGCTAGGAAACCTAAGCGCCCTGCCTTCATCCCTCCCTACACGGAGGTCATCTCCCCCTCCTTGCTGACCTTTCAGGGTCGCGTGGCATGCAAACAGCCGATGAAGAAGAGAACAGAGATCTTTACAAACATAACTCTATCACGTCCTGTTCATGATCATGCTATGCGGGGGTGTCACGCTGTTTGTGGGAAAATTCCATTATCTTCTTATTTTTAAGTTTTATGAATAGTTATCGTTTTTCTTCTTTTTTTAAAAATTGCTCATCGCGAAGTGGGTGAAGGTTTACAGAGCAGATCATCAGTTCCACAATCAACAATTCATACACATTTTGTTTCACCTCCATTCCCCTTCTTTCCCAAACCTTCTGGTCTCTGGCCGGGGGAGCCGGTGGCTATGCAGTGGGCCACGCAGTGATCCGCTACGGAAAGGGCAGCAGTTCAGCAGGCTGTTCATCAGGAGAGCGCGGAGACTCTCTGCCTCCGTCAAGACTGACAGTCTCCGGAAGCCCACAGGGGCAGTGCTACTTTATGCTATGGGGTCACTATGGGTCAGAATGAACTCGATCGCAGTGTGCTTGTCTTATTTCATTCTGAAGTGTGCTGTACGCCTCATTAGCAGCATTGTTCCCCTGATAGACCTTTGTTTGGCTGAAAATGGAGACATGGGGTGATTTCCAGATCTAAAGGGTGACTGAGGGCCATACGAGTCTTAGGGATTTTCTTAGTCTCTGTCTGACCAGAAAAAAACAAACAAACCTCCTTTATCTTTTAATACTCTTTTTCCATAAACTTTTTGAAGACCCTTCCTATTAGTCAATCTTGGAAACAGGGCAACTATGTACACAAGCTCTACTGATCTTTCTACTCACATCAGCCTCATGCCACGTTAAATGCTTTGTACATGGCTGTGTGTGGAATGCAGAAAAAAAGGGAGTGAAAAGATGGCTCTGGAAGCCTTCCCAGGCCTGTGTTCTCAGGTTCCCGGGGGAGCACAGCGCAACACGAATCTACTTGCAATAGCTTTCAACTGTGTCCGTGGTAGCAATGGTCACAGTAGCCATCACACTCATCAGAACAGCCCTGGACAGGCTCTGGCACCTCCGGGACAGGCCCTCGAGGAAAGGGCAGAAAATACATGGAAAGACCAGACACTAGGAACACGGCGGAAAACACGTTCGTTCTTCCCTGTAGTTCCAGTCTCCGGAGGGCGGATCCACTGCTCTGAGAAGATGCGAGAGAGAAAGGGGCAGTGACTGGATCCTCCAGCTGGTCAGTTTTCAGACGCTGGGTCAGGCTGGTCAACCCCGGCTCTATAAGTAGGCACGTGGAAGGTGCTAAGGGTACAGAAATAGACAGGCACCATCCTCACTGGGAGACTACTTGTAAAGGGAGAGAAAATCAAGCGGATCCCAGGAAGGCCTCAGAGAGAGTCGACATGTGAATCTGCCTTTACCTCCTCTGTACTCGCAGTAAGTGGACTGAAGGAAACACCTGTCTTACACTGCACCCCAACAATTCATGGGCTTCAAAAAACTCATGGGGGGTGGGGAGGAGGGGATATTAAAATATAATGGAACGTTTTTATTAACTTTTTGAAACCCCCCCTCATAAAAGAGAAAGCCTGTCATCGCATCCCGTGAAAGCATTAGTAATGTCGCATCGAAACAGCCTCCTCAGCCTTCAAGTGTTCTCAGGGTCCTTGTATCTCAAACAACTGTTCCTGCCACCATCCCTGGTAGCCAACCACCTCTCTGCCCCCTTCCCCCTCACTCCCAACTGCCTGTGAAAAAGAGGTTTGCAGCCGACGACACCATTCACTGGTGCTTCCCAAGAGCAATGACATGACTCATTTGGCGTCCCTCCCTTATTTTAAAGTACCTTAAATTACTCGCCAAATCTTTTAAAAATATATATTAGGTGAGTACATAAAAAAATTCAGATTCCGGCAGGGAGGAGACGAGCCAGTCAGGGTGCAGTTGTATGATGAAACATACAACTTTCCTCTAGTTCCTAAATGCTCCCCCCTCCCCACTATCATGATCCCAATTCTATCTTACAAATCTGGCTAGACCAGAGGATGTTCACTGGTACAGATAGGAACTGGAAACATAGGGAATCCAGGGCGGATGATCCCTTCAGGACCAGTGGTAAGAGTGGCCATACGGGGAGGGTGGAGGGAGGGAGGGTGGGTGGGTGGAAAGGGGGAACCAATTACAAGGATCTACATGTGACCTCATCCCTGGTGGATGGACAACAGAAAAGTGGGTGAAGGGAGACACTGGACAGTGTAAGATGTGGCAAAATAATTATTTATAAATTATCAAGGGTTAATGAGGGAGGGGGGAGCAGGAGGGAAGGGAAAAAATGAGCTGATACCAGGGGCTTAAGTGGAGAGCAAATGTCTTGAGAATGATGAGGGTAACGAATGTATAAATGTGCTTTACACAATTGATGTATGTATGGATTGTGATAAGATTTGTATGAGCCCTTAATAAAACGATTAAAAAAAAACCACTCAGATTCGGCTTGTCACATCTGTCATCACTGACCACATTTCTGTAAGGTCGTGGTTAGTCCGAGGTGAACAGAAATGCCTTTGTTTGGG